ATGTAATTTAGATTAAAAACTGCTCATGTTGCATGTATGCAGCATCTTTGTTTGGATTGTGATTAAAATGCAGTGGTTGCCTCTAATTTTAAATGTCAAGAGCACAGACAAAGACTTATTTTGTTTATATGAAGAGATTTCTTTTATTTGTGTTACTTATTTATTTGATTTGGGGCTTGTTTTAAAATTTCAATTTAGTTTTGTTATTTACATTTACATTATATTTAAATTTTGTCATTTAGCAGATGCTTTTATCCAAAGCGACTTACAAATGAGGACAATGGAAGCAATCAAAATTAGTATATTATAGTGTTATATTTCAATTTCACAAAGAAATGTGCAGAATTTTGTCCAAGCAATAATAAAAGGACACATTCAATTTATAATTTGTCTTAAATCTCATTTTGTTAAAAATGAATCGAATCGCGAAATCAAAATCGTGAATCGAATTGAATCGAATCGTGAGTTGAGTGAATCATTACATCCCTACTCACTGGTAGCTATTTTATATATAGGTAATAGGCAGGCAAACACTGCTATTATCCACTTGAATGGGGAAAGACTGAAATGTTTAAAATGTTTGGCTAAGCTTGTTACAGTAACATTTCAAATCAACAAATTTAAAAAATCTAAAAGGGTCCATTGAGCATTGTGATATGCTGTCTCTGTCTGTAGTCATAGCGGATCGGGATGCAGACAAATCCTGGAGCGGATCAGAGTCCGAACCAGACTGTCCACTGTCTAGACCACTCCCATTCAGCAGCACCTCCGTCCACCCCGCTGTAGCAACCCCACCTGCCTCTTTACCCCACCCACCCCAGATGAGCTCCACCCCCTTCAGCAGCACCCTTAAGGTAACCCTCACTGTGTCTCTGTGGTACATTGTCTAACTCTTCTCTTCTTTATTGTTTTCATTCAACCCAATCCACCCTGCCATATCAGGTGGACAGAGTGAGTTAAAAGAGCTGCCTTCTGGCAGTAAACTAGATGTGGAAGGCAATGAAAGTCCAGAGGACGAATCTGAAGAAGGTGAAGATGATGAAGGTGAGGATGACGATGATGAAGAAGAAGAAGAAGAGGAGGAGGGAGAAGAAGATGAGGATGACGATGATGATGATGATGATGATGATGAAAACGATGAAAATGAAGATGGTGAAGAAGATGATGATGAAGAGGCAGATGAACAAGAAGAAACTGCTGTGGCTTGCAAGACAACAGGCCTTCCTGGGTTGCCCAAAACCGTGGCTCTTGGTACAACAGAGCAATCAGAAATGGCTAATGAAAATGTCAACCAACCTGGACGGGACATGATGGAGGATAGTGTCTCAGGAGATAGTCCTCTGAAGGTCAGAACATATCAAGAAGAAGAGGCTTCAGAAAAAATGGACATGAAAGAAACAATTCCTGAAAAGATGCTTTTTGGAGGTCTAATTCCAGGGATTCTCGATTTAGAGGATGGTTGCCTTGTGTCAGCTGTCAGAGTCGAGGCGAGATTCTCTGATGAGGAGGACAACAAGGAGGCCAATGATAGTCCAAGTCCTCCCGCAGAATGTGAAACTTCTTTACCAAGTGTGGACAGAACATCGAACAGAAATCCAGTTGAGAGCAAGAATGAAAACCAAAGTGATGATGATGATTGGGAGGATGATGACGATGAAGATGAGGAGCTGTTGAAAACTGAGAAGAACATTTTAGAAGTGGAGACTTCTCAGGGGACAGCCACTGAATGTGATCCACAACTTCAAGATGAAACTGATGATGTTCCTCTGAGACAAAATGAAGGAATAACTGATCTTGACACCAGCAATCTGGATGTGCCTTCAGCATCACCTAAGTCAAAGGCTGTAACTACTGCAGATGATGATGAGGATGATTGGGATGATGTTGACGAGGAAGAAGAAGTGCAAACAAAGAAGCCACTGAACCTATTTCTGACATTGCTGGGACCAGAGAGCCCTGAGGTATCTTGGGAGTCTGGCTCAGACAAAAGTGATGGGACGCCTGAAGGAGATAAGGAATCAAACATGGAGATGTCAAATGCAGAAAAAGACCAACATCAAGAGGCTTTGGTTCAGGACGACAACACTTCAAAAAGGGCATCTTTAGAACCTATTGAGCACCTTTCCCATAGTCCTTTACATGAAGAACCTGGGTGCATTGATCAGAGTCATGACAGTGGAGCTATACCAGTGTCCATGATTGTTGGTCAAAGTGATGAAGACCAGAGTATAAGTCAAGAGCACGACAGCCAAGTGAAGCAAATGCAGTATGACTTTGCAAGCGGCTCGGTCAAGGTTTCTGAAATAGATCAGATCTCTGATGTCTCTGACAATGAATCTCTGCCTGAAGAATATGATGTATGTATTAATGATGCAGATCAACCACAGGCTTCAAATCTCTCCAATAGTAGCCCAAAATGTTCTGCCACTTCAAGTCCAGCACAATTTGAAAAACCATTGTTGATGAGATCTCTCTCAAATAGCCCCAAACCATTAAATGCAATGAGCCCCGTTCCAACAAGTCCTAGTCCCAAACACGCACCAAGTCCAAGGCAATCTGCTGGACTCAACATTCATCAACATTCAACTGCAAGTAGTCCACAAAACTCAAGTTCCTCAAGCCACTCACCAAGTCCCCAACATTGTAGTCCATCAACTCCAATGATTGTCCATCTGGATCAAGACTCACAGGACATGATCAAATCTACAAATCCAGAATCTCCTCAACATTCAAGCCCTGACTCTCAAGTTGAGGATGACCTTTCCGTAGAGTTCGCAGATGAACGCTCAACAGAGGTGATTGAACCAGAACCAGCTCTTCAAGAAGAAATCCCCTACACCGTCATAGATGAAGTTAATCTCACTTCTGATTCTGATGAAGATGATGGTGAGGAACAACTTGAGAAGTTGCATGAACAGAACTCTGCAAATAAATCTGTAATGGAAGAAAGACGTTCAAAGCACGGATCATTACAGGTACTCAGGAGACGATGGCTAGAATAGCCATAGCTTGTGGATAGAAGTGGTTTGTAGTTATAGTTTCTAGATGTGGATAGGATACAAACACTGAAGATGCAACTGAAGATCCCACTTGCTTCGTCTTTTATTCTTTTATGTATCTAATCTCGTTGAAGTACACCACTTCTATGCTAACAATTTATTCTGATTTGAGTGTAAAATGCTTGCCGTTTATACTGGTTTGCAACTCATCTTCTTCGAACAGGAAGAGGCCTCCACAGAGGATGAGGAAGAGGAGGATGAGAGGGAAGAACCGGAGGAAATGTGTGAAAAGGCTAAAGATCCTCAAAATGGTGGTACTAGCAAAGAAAAGCGAAGAGGTACATTTTCATCCTTTATGGATTTTACAGTCAAGGTTTTGGCATTTAGTGACCATATAGAGGTATATAATGTATTACATGACCATATATATAACATTCTTTGCATGTTTTTCCAGATTTCCTTTCAGAATTGGGACTCGAAAAGGAAGATGAAAATGACGACTCTCCATGGGATTCAGAGGTCAGTCACAAGACATATTAAACAAAGCAAAGCAGGCGAAATCTCCATACAGTAATGCAGTTTATACGCACAGCATCACAATCACCCTAAAGCAGGGTTTCCCCAAGCTACAGGTTAGAAAACACAAACAGGTTAGTGATGAAACTGCAATGGGTCAGTGGAATTGTGATAATTAATGATCAAATATAAATGAAAAAATAAATAAAAACAGGTTGTGGTCCTCTGTTCTAAGGTCACCTGTGACCACATTTAATCCTGATATGTTCTCTCTTTTTTCCCTCACAGTCTGGTTCTGAGAGCCCACAGAAGAAACAGGCCAGTGCTCCACACACTCCTGCCAAATCACATAGATCTATGTCCAGTATTCGTGAGGAGAATACTGAAGGTATGTAAGGCATTTCTAGTGGGTTTTTTTTACTACATAAAAATATGATTGCATTTTAGAATGCTTTGTCTGTGTAGCCTTCTGCAACCATTTCATGCTTAAAAATATGCAAAAGATTGACATTTTCCATTGCTTCTGCTTAACAGATGTTTTTACAAGACTTGCTATGCTAAATTATGCAAAGTTTAGGTTATTTGTAGATTTGCATTTCATAATCTCATTGAATTCCTTTGTAGACTTCTTATACATTCCCTCCTTCGTAAGAGGAGGGAGGAACGTTAATTTATTGAGAAGTATAGGCCAGCCAGGAGGCTGCAGGCCGATGGGTAGGCATTCATGATTTGCTGTTGTCCTGCTGGATTAATCATCACCGTTATAGCCGTCACATTAACATCTTGTCCTCAGATCCTGATCTCTTGTTTTATGCATCTGTTGTCATCTGTGCATTCAAGGCATGTGATGTGACACGGAATGATGCTCAACTAATACATGCTTTAGTGGGGAAGGTCCATCGTTGTTGCTCATGTTTACAAGATGAGTTTATTGAAATGAACATTTACAGAACTGTTCCCTTTATTGTGTTGGAGTATTTGGCCACTCTCAAACCCCAGTTCACAGGCATCATGGGAGACCTCCATCGCTGCATGTGCATGCCTGCGCACTCGCTACATGGAAGCTTGTCTTTGTCGATTGATTTTCATGTTTTTTGAGGAGAGTTTTGAACCTTGTCCCTTCTTGCCTTTCAGTTTTAAGAAAGGATGAGGATGATGAAGAAGAGAAGGAAACTGAAATACCAGTAAGTATCATTTTGAAATTATTGGAAGTTATTTAACTTGAATTGCATTTCATGAAGAACTAATGTTTGCAATGCAGTTTTTGGTAAAATGCATGAATGATTAGATTGTCAATAAAGCAGCGTCAGCTGAATTAATTGAAAAGAAAAAAAACACTTTGCTGCCCTGCAATGTTAATTCTATTAATATTAAATATTGATATATTAATATTAATTATATCAACATATATATTATTATTATTTTTATTTATTTTTTTAAATATCATGTCATATAGTAGAGAAAGGCGCACAATTTTCAGGGAATACATGTACTGATTAAAAATATTTATGGCAATTTTTATCCAAATAGTTTTGGATAATGCCATCTATCAAATGCATAAATGTCAAAATATATATATATTTTTTTACTTTTGAATTTTATATTTAATGCATCTTTTTTTCACAGCCTAAAGTGGTCAAAAGAGAGATCGTGTCTGTTCTTAGTAAGCTGATGGATTCAAAAGAAGCTAATAAGAAAACAGGTCATCTCATTTTTTTAACACAACAATTAAATTATATTCTAGTTCTTAGTAAGCTGATGGATTCAAAAGAAGCTAATAAGAAAACAGGTCATCTAATTTTCTTAACACAACAATTAAAGTATATTCTTACATGTTTGGCTTCTCATTTAAACATCTCTGTTCTTACAGATCTGATGGAAGAGCTTGGTTTGGGGGATGCTGATGATCTTGAAGGTAATCTTGATGTTCTTCCTTCACTAAAACATTTCCTGAATCCTTCCTGAATCAAATTTTGCAATCTGTGAATGTTTTGTATGTATGATGTGTTCATGCTTTTGTCTTAATTTACACAAAATTAAATCACCAATGCCCTCCAGATCAGATACTCAAGCACTTATGCTCATTTATAGTTCTGCTGATGCTTGCTAATATCAAAGCCAGGGCCTAGCAGTTAGTGCACATGCCATGGGCGACACAAGTTTAATTTCAGTCAGAATGTTGATGAAAAGTCTAAAGTTCCACACTGGCTATGAAGATATTCTCATTTAGGTCTGCATTTATCATTTACTTGCACTGCCTCTCATAGATGCTTCAGACTGGGACTCTGCCAGCACCACCAGTAAGGCCAGTAAGAAATTCCCAGTTCATAAGCTGGATGAGGAACCCGTCTTTGAAAGCCCAGCAGCTTCCGCACTACCCATAACATCCGAGGAACAGGACGTGGACACCAGAGAACATAAAGAAGCCAGTCCAGAGAGAAACAAACCCACAACCTCAAGCACAACACCTCTACCTAGTCCACGATCTCTCAACCCAAACGCCAGCTCAAAACCACAATCACTGCCACGACTGCGCTTGGACTCCAATCAGAGGCCGGAGAGTGAAGGTAGAACTCAGAAACTACAAATCTTAGATTTATTCTCTTAGCTTTTGAGGTGATTTCAATAAATATATATGCTGATACTAAATTTATTTAAATACAGAATCGGACTGGGATTTGGAAACTTCCAGTCCAGCCAAGATGACAAATTCACTGCCAAATGTCGCTGAGCCTGATGCAGGTAAATCTCTTCAATGTGAGGGTGAATGTTCAGGGTTTACTATACTTCTCACTGTATTTTATATTATGTTGTAATGTGTCTGAATTTCTCTTCAGTTCATCGGCAGGAACCCAAAGCTGAAGATGTCAAGAGTGAAGACAGTTCTTACGCAAGTGAAGATGCAGATCAGGTGGGCAATTTATAGAATAAACAAGCTCTGTGGATTCTGCCAACTTCAAATAAATTAATAATAAAATAAACATAAAAATCTGATTAAGCATTTCATTATTGAAAATGTCTGCAAACTATGTGCCAAAATTAAAAATAAAACTAAATTAAATGATTTTCATATCATTTACATTTAAGAAATCTTTTTAAAAGTTGAAGTTGCTATTTCTTTTTCACATTTGCCATTTTATTTTAATATTGCATTTAATTGCATTTAGGATTGCAATTGGATTTCATTTAATTTGATAGGGATGATGCATTGTGTTACTGTGAAAAATTACAGTATATTTAATACGACTTATGAAACGCTTAATCAGATTTTCATTTTATTAATTTATTTTAAATTGAAAGAATCTGCCTTTCATAAAACTCTGCCTCTTCTTACTAAATTAAGTGTTGAAAATAGAGTCTTGGTTTTGCCCTAGTGGTAACTGGAAGCTCCAGTGATGTGGATTTGGTCTTTAATGTCACTACATGTTTCCTTTGTGCTTTATTTTAGTTAAATGTGGTGTTTGTGACAGTCATACAGTTTAATTGTTGGCACGAGTCATGTGCATGTGTCTCAAGTTTGGTCTGAAGTCCTTGTCAACCAGACTTGTTGGGTTTTTCATTGTTAATTCTATTCTTTTGTCTAATTGTACAAACAAAGGCAAGAGAGGCATTACAAGCGTCTTCAGTAGACATAAATAGGTTGTCTAACCTTGAACCACTGGAGCGCCTAACCTCACCTAGAGAGGACGAACAAGAGGAGAAAGCTGATGAGATTCCTTGGGAGGAACGCTATGAGAAAATATGGGTGGAGAACGACAAAAAGGAGACCAAGTCCCAATACAAAAACGTGGCTGCTGAACTAAAAGAGAGGTTCGGAGAACTGGAGCACAAAGAACCACTGAGTGACCTTTCGGAGCAGGAGTGGAAAGAAGATGAACAAGGTGATGAAGAATAAAATAAACATAAAAATCTGATTAAGCATTTCATTATTGAAAATGTCTGCAAACTATGTGCCAAAATTAAAAATAAAACTAAATTAAATGATTTTCATATCATTTACATTTAAGAAATCTTTTTAAAAGTTGAAGTTGCTATTTCTTTTTCACATTTGCCATTTTATTTTAATATTGCATTTAATTGCATTTAGGATTGCAATTGGATTTCATTTAATTTGCTAGGGATGATGCATTGTGTTACTGTGAAAAATTACAGTATATTTAATACGACTTATGAAATAGTGACCTTTCGGAGCAGGAGTGGAAAGAAGATGAACAAGGTGATGAAGAGGAAAAGAAAGAGCTGGAAAAGGAAGCAGATGACGAAGATTCCAGTGAGGAAGAGGGAGAGTCAATAGTGCGGCCCATCGCCCGGGCGAGAAGTGCCATACTTTTGCCCATCCCAGAGCAGAGAGAGTCAGGCCTGGAGGACTCGAAGTCTGAAAGTGTCCACCGCACAGTTAGTGTTGAGGTCAGCGATGCAGAGCTTCCCAGTGACCAACACAACCCTCAAATCATCCCAGAAGCCCTAACGGATGAGGCCCAGGAGCCAGAGAACCGAACAGATAACATTGAGGAACCTGAGAGTGGAAGCAAAGATAAGTGCCCACTAGAATCTGCAAGCGAAAAAGAACCTGAAGAACTTCACAGACCTTCATTGCTTGTTGAGAATGAGCTACAAGTCCCACCCGAAGTTCTAGAAGTGCTCTCTTCTGACTCCAACGAGGTTGATGAGGGCCTGTGGAAGTCCAGACTTGAGGTAGGACCCCGGGAGGAGTCTCAGACAAACTTGTATAACGAATGAAGACTTGCAGTTTTGCCTCTGTCTTCTTGTTCCTCATTCACATAAACTCAAAATGTGAGGGAAAAGCTCCAGCTTCAAAATCAAAACCGTCTGTTAGTCATCTTGTAATGCTGACCAGACACTGACGGGTCAAATTACACAACTGTTCCCTATCTCTAGTTCTGCCAGTCATTAGCTCTGTTCCAAACCTAGTGAGCTGCCTACCCAGAGAGCATTTTAAGACATGACATGCTTCTTCTGACATGACATGTTAATTATGTTGCCTTCTGAGATGCCTTGTAATTTTAAATTAGCAAATTTTTGCATTTTATACAGTATTGAAAGTCTTGAAAAAAGTTCTAAATCAATCTAATTAAACTCATTATTTGTATGTTCTATGTATTTTTATCCTTATTAGAGTGTCATTAGTTTAGCAACATGCTAACTCTTGAATGCAGTGCAGCTAATTTAACGCATTTACATTTTATACAGTACTGAAAGTATGGCTAAAATAGTTCTGAATTAATCTAATTAAACCCATTATTTGTGTGTTTTATGTGCTTTTATGCTTATTAGAGTTAAATGTCGTTAGCTTAGCAAAGTCAGTTGTGAACATAGTCTCCCGTGTGCTTTATATAGCAGCTTTCTGCCTATATAAAACCTTTCAAATCAATAATTTATGATATTCTATCATGGTTATCATTGTACCTTAGAAGGCAGCTACCTATGTAGGCAGTAGTCAGCGAGGCAGCACGCTAGTTTTTGAAAAAGAGCTATTATCTTTTTTGTACTACTATTTCAACTCATTTCACAATGTTTTCAAATCATTTACATTCTTCATGCATTTTAACACCCCATGAAATCAGTGTTTTTAGTATTATATATATATACTATTCTAGTATTTATTAATATTTTGAATGAGCTTCTATTTTTATATTTTCGTTTTTTAATTTAATAGTTAATGTTTAAATAATTTTGTTTTTTGCTTTTGTCATACGTTTTTCTATTTAGCTTTGATGGATTTTTATTTCCGTTTGAATTGTATTAATTTTAGTACTTCGACTTAAAACGTATTTTCATTTCCTTATTTTCAAGTTTTTTAAGTTTAGGTTTTTCATCTAATATTTAGATTTTATTTTATTTAATCTATTTCAATTGCTGTAAATGATTTTTGCTAGTTTTAGTTAACAAAAACAGCACTGCATGAAATAGACAAACACGTTGTTTTTTGTGTATTCATGCTTGGGAAGTTGGGAAAACATACATCATATTGTATTAATAGCCATCCTTTAATTTAAATAATAGCCTGAGGAAAAATATGGTTTGGGCTGCGTTTATAATGAGCTTTGCTCACTGTGCAACAATAAATGTGTTAGACATTAGTATGCTTCTTGCTTTACTGATTCTTTTAAAGCATCTTTCTGATGCTTTAATGAACTTTTAGGGGCATTTGAAAAGTTAATGTTCTACAAAGCTCTAAGTTTGATTTCATGGGGTCTTCAGTTGTCTCGTCTTGTCCTGTATATGTTTTAACTTGTGTGACCTGACCAGCACTTGTCTTGAATCCAGTCTGTCACTTTATTAAATATTTATTGGTTAATTTTATGCACTGGTGTCAAATGCTTCACTTGGGTGTCAGTTCACACCTGACATGTGCATCTGTCGTGTGCATGTGTGCCAAGGATTGCTTCCTTTAGCTGTCTGAAGATCTCTCTTCATCTTCCTGAAGATCTGTCATACTAGTGTGTTTTCATGATGTGTCTCACAACCCAGAACTTCTCCGTTGATGTTGGCTTGAAGTGTGTTTTATGTTTCTAGTGCTTCTTTTTAAATAAGAAAAGAAGACATTGTGTGGTGTTTTACTCAGTTTTGTCTCGTATGTGACTGTATCTGAATGTTTTGCATGATCAGTTGACTAAATCAATACATTAATACACATTTCCCAGAAGTAGTTTTAAATCTAGAATTTCCTTATGCTCTTAGAGTAATGCTTATATGCATACATTAAAGATGATTTTAGCTCTCTCAACACATAATATCTTCTGTTTTAGGGTAATAAGGAACAGTTGGATGGTATGAGGGGAGAACAGCAGCCCAGTGCTTTATGGGATACTAGAGGAACCAGAGAACGAGGTGAACTTGACCAAGGAGAAGGGAAGGAAACTGACAACAACTCTGGGAACCCGAAACCTCAACAGGAAGAGATGGCTGACGGCAGGTCTTTGGGAAGAGAGGGTAGTGTTTCACCAAGACATCTGACAAGAAGTCCAAGAAGGTACATATGTTGCATTACTAGATGGAATTAATGTGAAGGGAGATGTTTTTGTGATCCAATCACGTTGAAGAACTTGATTTTATTTTATTTTATTTCCTCCCTGGAATTCCTTTTATCCTGTAACTGTGCATGAACCATTTTTCTTTGGATTTGAGACTTTAGTCTTTGCAACTTTACAGATCTTCTTTATGCACCAAGAGCTTGTAACACTCCAAAGAGAAAGGAAAAATTGAAATCGCATCATATGACCCCTTTAAAAATTACTGAAAAAAATACTGAGGACGCCTGAAACTGTGCGTGAACCATTTTATTTTAGATTTTGTTTTATTTTATTCTATTTTATTAAAAAAATTACTGAAAAAAATACTGAAGACACCTTGAAGCAAAGAGCTTTCAGCAAACAGCCATGGGTGATAGATCAATACACATTTTTACAAAAAAAATGTCATTCTATTTCTAAAGTATATGCATGTATTGTGTTATTTTTATTTTGTCAGTTATGTTTCATGCTAATGGAAAATAGTCATCAGGCTTTTGCTGAAGCTTTGAATTTGCTTCTGGTGTCATCATTGCTGTTTCCCTGGTGGAGGGCGTGCAGTTGCCTTTTTTTTTTTTTTTATCTTTCATTTTATCTTCATGATGAGATCTGTGCACCTCCAGTACTGACAGGGCACGGCCACATGGTGAGGAAGACGAAGAGGAGGAAAAGAAAACTGTAGGTAGCCAAGCCAGAAATCTCCGTGTAGCTCCCCCTCTGCAGGGCAAACCCTCCCGACCTGCGACCCACCATAACGGAGACCTCGAGTCTGTTTTTGATGATAGTACTTTAAGTGAGCTATCGGAAGAGGACAGGAGGTATACATGCAGTATTTACATGCTTTTTAATGTAATATATTATTTATAGCTCGATTTTATCTGTTGCAGTGTTGCAGTAGCAACATTATAAGCATAACTGGGCCTGCACAGAATTCAGCCAGATTTGAACACCTGTAATATTTACACCTGTAATACTTGCACCCACAATCAGTGTTGAATAAATGAAAGCAAATGAAAAGCGGGCAGATTCCATATGGGCCTTGTTATAACGTAAATTTTTTTTAAAGAGAATACTGCATTATATCCTCATTTTAGAGCACCAAACTTGCTCTCCGGTAGACTGGTGTTATCTGATAAAGCATAAAATCATGTTTTTTCTTTGTACCGACAGGTCCCCTTCTTCAAGGCGTAAGAAAGAGCAGGTGAGCTTTTGTCTTGATAAGGTAAACCTCCAAGTGTTCATTTAAGGGTTTGTTTAAGACAGTGGTTACCAAACTGTGCACTGACTTTTGAGAATATGAAGGAAAATGTTACTCATAAATTTACCAGTTTAACACAGGATACTCAGTGTCACACATGTGTTGTATTGACTTTATTGTCTCCTATGCAGAGTACTGGAGAACTGGAGATGGCGGATGATTTTGAAGATCTCACCCAGTCTTCTGACACAGCCACTGAGGAGCTGGAGACTCCAGTATCTGGATACCACAATGCATCTCTGCTCTTCAAACAGCTCGACTCCAGCTATCTGGGTGAGTCAGTCAGCTGAAAGCAAACAGTTAAGTTCAGATGTTCAGCAAATGAAGATGTTCACCTGTATCTTATGTCCTGCAGACTCTGTGAGTGTGGTGAAACTACAGAACATGTTTCATGAGTACGAACGCACCATCCAGAGGGAGAGAGACAGACATAGCCGTCTGGCGGATAAAACCTCTCAGCTGGAGCAGGAACGCAACGAGTTTAAGATCCTGCTGGATGATATCAGAGGCAGCAAGTCCAGCCTAGAACATCTCAAACTGGAGCTGGAAACGGATATGAACAATCTCAAGTGAGCTTATCTCAGTGCATCTGCAACTCGCCAGGTTTTGTAACACTGACTCTCTCTTCTCTCTCTCTTCTCATGGAAGGTTCCTTTTGAGACAGGAACAGGAAAAGCATCAGAGTGCTCTCATGCTGTATAATAAAACCCGTGAGCAGCTCCAGAGGAAAGAGGAGCAGCAGCGAGCCGAGGCCGAAGAGTGTCACAAAGCCGAGCTGAAAGTCCGCAGTCTGGAACTGGAGATCAGAGCCCTAAAGAACAGCATAAAACAGGTCAACAGCAGCAGACTGTTAGATTTAGCTGGTAAAACCAGCTCATAACACTGTTTTCTCAGTTTGCTGAAGAGTGTGTTTGTGTGTTTAGCTTGAGGAGGACAGGGATGAGTCTCAGCGTCTTCTGTCTCATGAGCGCAGTGCTCGCGCCCTACAGGAGGAGTTACTCAACAACCACCTGCATAAGCAGCAGAACATTGAGAAGGAGAACCTTCGAAACCTCAACAAGAGCAATGAGGTACCGCTGCCACCTTTTCAAAAACTTTGTCAGGGAATATTTATAAATGTGCTATTTCTGTTAGCAGCTAGCAAATTCATTGCAACTAACAAATGTATGTTGTCAAATATGCAGTGATGTAATGTCTTTACAGCCACATATGCAGTGACGTCAGAGCTTTACAATCACACATGCAGCAATGTCATAACTAAACTGCACATGCTGTGATATTGCTTTAGTCAAATACGCTGTGATGTAATACAGTCACATTTGCAGTGATGTCATAGTTTTACGGCCACATATGCACTGCTGATGATGTCATAGCTTTATGGCATATATGCAGTGACGTCATAATTTTACTTCCACAAATGCAGACACGTCGCAGCATTACAGCTACATATGCAGTGACATCAGCTTAAAGGGATAGTTCACCCAAAAATGAAAATTACCCCATGATTTACTCACACTCAAGCCATCCTAGGTGTATATGACTTTCTTCATTCAGACTAATGCAATCGGATTTATATTAAAAACTGTCCTGGGTCTTCCAACTTTTATAATGACATGGGAGTCGATCCATCCATCATAAAATATGCTCCACACGGCTCCGGGGGGTAATAAAGGCCTTCTGAAGCGGCTTTTTAATAAAACTCAGATTGTATTAGTCTGAAACAAGAAAGTCATATACACCTAGAATGGCTTGAGTCAATTATAGTGATGTCATTGCTTTACAAACATATGCAGTGACATCATAGTTTTATGGCCACATATGCAGTGACATCATAGCTTTACAGTCAAATATGCAGTGATGCCATATCTTTACAATCACATATGCAGTGACATCATAGCTTTGCAGCTTTTATCACATCCCATCTAAGAAACCATGAAAAGCACGTTAATAGAACAAATTACCAATATGCAGTTATATAATATCTTTGCAATCACATATGTAGTCACTTCATGGTTACATCATCGCTTTACAATATGCATAAGAAACCATGAATATGAACATAATTGAGAACAAATTTTAGCAATATGCAGTGATGTTATATCATTGCAATCACATAAGCAGTGACGTCATAATTGAGCATAATTGAGAACAAATGACCAATATCCCTAAATCAAATATGTGAACTTCATGATTTAGGTTTACCGCATAAGCAGTGAACTAAAACACAGTTAGCAGATCTTCTGTGTAACCCAACTGCTCTAATCCTGTTTGCTGGCATCTGATTGGTCAGATTTTCAGGCTTTATCCTAATGTCCTGAATTTAGCCATTAACTTACTGTTACAGAGCCATTCACTCTTTTGAAACCAGGCCGCATACTGTGTTGTTTTTTAAAAAAAATGCTAAAATGTGTTTGTCGCATGTTAAACTGAGTTTATTACTGATGTTGTGCTCAGGCCATGTCACAGCTTACAGAGGCATCGGACCGTGAGCGAGAGTTGATGCAACAAAACCGAGCCCTACAGGATGAACGGAACGGCGCTCGGGCCGAGCTGGACCGCTCACAGTGCCACAGCCGACAGGAAGAGTCACGGCTGGCGGAGGAGAGAGACGTCCTACGCGAGAGACTGGAGGATGCCCGCAGGGACATGAAACTGAGTGAGGAGGCCTTGGCTCAGACTGTGTTTCAGTACAACGGGCAGCTGAGCGCGCTGAAGGCCGAATGCTCAGTGATCACGGCTAAACTGGAGCACGAGAGGCAAGTGAGGCAGCAACTGGAGGCCGAGGCCGAGGCGAGCAGGGCACGACTGCAGGTGGCGCTGCAGGAGGCCGAGAGATGCCAGGTCAGCTTCAACTCATTTGTGCTAAACTAAAGGGAAAGGGATTTTGGGAACTGCTATCAATTTGTCTTTTATTATTGTTGCAACCTCTCAGGCATCACGCACAGATGCAGAGCGCACTCTCCAGCGAGACCGTGAGGAGCACCAGCGGGCGCAGGAAAAGCACATCTTTGAGTCCAGTACACAACGGGACACCATCCAGTCCCTGTCCCAGAAACTCAGCAAGGCCGAGGCGCGCGCCAACAGCCTGGAGAACGAGTGTCACCGCAATGCTCTGACCATCGCTGAGAAGGGCGTACTGTTGGAGACTCTGGCCCGAGAGAAAGACCAGGCCCTGGCCAAACTCAAAGAACTGGAGGCCACGGTACTGAACGAACGGGAGCAGGCCAGCCGTGCTGGGGCCAGACAGGAAGCCATGCAGGAGAGACTGGCCCAAGCTCAGAGTGAGAACGCGCTGCTACGACAACAGCTGGAGGAGGCGCTCAACAAGGGCTCGGCGAAGGATAAAGCCGTTACAGATGTGCACCAAAACTTTGCCGAAATGCTGAACCAGTTACGTGCAGACGGAGAGGAGAGAGTCCATCTGGTGGAGGAGAGAAGCAAAGAGCTGGCAAAGACAAACAGCGAGCTGAGAGATCAGAATTACAAACTAGAGCAGGAGAAAGCTGATAGAGAGGTAGAGGACACTGAGATTTTCTTTTTTTTCTTTATAAATGGCTCTATCAATGTCTATTGTAAGCGAACAACATAATGTTGTGTCACTAATGGACACATCAGATGTAAGACTGAGACTAGACCGCAGCAGTAAAAAAGTAAGTTTTATGGGTTAGTTTAGCTTAGAGTCATAATTTATTAAAATAATAATTAAAATTAATACAAAAATCATTTTAAAATATAAGATAATTATTAATTAATAATAACAATAATAATATTTAAATAATAAGAATTTTAAATTTTCTATATGTATATAATAT